ACACCAACCTGATTGTGGACTACAAAAAAACCACCTAAAACAAGTAATCAACAGTTGGGAGGCCTCAAATTTAGCGATATTTTCCATCCTCCATGTTCACCTTTATATTATAAATTATATGTATTGAAAAACAATACATATAATTAAGGCCTCAAAGATAGCCTTATGCTGGAAAGAACTTCCAGGTCACAGACAACCGAAGAGTATGATATCTCTATCGCAAAACAAATCCAAAGAGGTTTTATGCCTCAGCAAAGAGGATCTAAGGACGGTCTCAGGTTACCTGACCGGCCATGTTCCCCTAAAATACCACTTCTTCCACATTGGACAAGCTGAACTTGTCGACTTTGCAAGGACGAGTCAGAAATATCTGAACATATACTGTTCAATTGCGTCGCTAGAGGCCGTCTAAACACAAAATTTTCGGTAAAACTCTCTTGACACCTACCGACATAAAGGTTCAAGACCTCAGGGCAATACTAAGGTTCATCAAGGACCTACATTTGCCCTAAATTTTGGAGGGCTACAGTTACGATAGATGTTATAGGTCGCGGTAACAAGAGGGGCCGCTCCCCTCAGCCCGGCAGCAATAATAATAATAATAATCCCAGTGCGGGTTTTTCAACCCTTGCTCACTCTGAAATGTCAGCGCAACCTATGATTGAAATGCCAAACTAATAAACGTTTGAAAATTTCAGCGCCATCTATGATTGAAATGACAACAATTTCACCGCCATCTATGGTTGAAAAAATTTTAGCACTAAACTAACTGTGGTAATTAGGAATTGTTGGTTTCACATGAGAGATAAAGAAGGTTTTAGTTCAATCTATACAAATTCCTGGAACATTTACAAACACAACTTGAACGATGGCTCAACACTAGACAGCAAGTTGTCAAAGTTATAGGAACAAAAATTCTGCATCAATACCCATCAACAAACAACCAGTTCTAGACGGACTTAATAAGTTCACCAATTTCTCTCGTTTATATCGCAGAATATAAGGAATATGTTAATGTACACATGTTAATGTAGATGTTCAAATTAATGTACAAATAATTTCTTTTGAACAACAAATTTGATTTTTCTACACACGCTTTTGTTTTAATTACCTTTGTTACTGTTACACTAAAATAACTAAAACATAGAATTTCATTTCAATTTAATAACAATGTTTATAAACCCAACGTAAAACTATATTCATTTGTTTAAAATATTATTAAAATAAAATTTCTTTCATTTGTGTAAAATAAAACCAATGTAATTTTTCCGCGTTATCATCAATTACAAATTCCTTTGACGTAGTCGTTCTATTTCTCAGTGGTGGCAAAGACACAAAAGTTTTATTTGCCTGGTTTTTCCTCGGAGACGCTCGGGGCAAGACACGGAGGGAAAGGTGTCCGCTCGTTAGCAAAGTCGTTAAATGATGGAGTTTATAACATTGCTCTTCTACGGCGTCGCGACGCCCTTTTATTTCTTTCCGTCGCGACGGCAGCCGGTCGCCGCCTCCGGATCTTTTCCGACTCCTCCGCTTTCTCATTATTTTTCCTCGGTTTCCGTGGGGCAGCTCCTAATGAGCCTGTCAACTCGAAAGCTTTTGTTTTCAGAATGCACAATTTAAATTGCCATTTGCATTTTTATTGTCTCGTACATCGTCAGGGACGTTCTTTTTTCGGCTACGATTTCGGATCGCTTGCAAAGTGTTTCCACGACAACGATCACGTTGGCGACGCTGACGACGTGGAGGATAATCTAAACCCACTATTATGTTGGTCGTTCAGGCCATAAAAGTGATTTAGACGTCGTCGAACTGTGTGTGGCCCACTTAAATTAGTATCGAAACACATGCATGTTTCAAAAATGAAAATATCTCTATGTGATGGTGAGTTAAACAGCATGGAATCTCATCAGCATTCATTCGACATATTTTATACGAGCTGTTGACGATTGTGCACAGTACTAACTCCATTTAGAGTCACGTTTCGGGTGTGGGTTTTGTGTTTTCTTCCCGTGTGCCGCAACCGGTTAAATATGTACCGGTCGCACGCAGAATTTCGTTAGTAAACAAAGTTCCTGAAAGGGCATCGTTGCTGAGCCTGGTTGTTCCACACCGTGACGCCGCGTCGGTAGTTCCCGTTGTTCTCAAAGTTCTAATTCGCTCCCTTTTGCACAATGGCCGTCGGTCCGCATTAAGGGTATTTAAATTCGAGTTTCAGTTCTATGATGGAGAGGTTGTAATTTGTTTCTTTCGTCGTTTATATATGCAGTTCAAAATAACATTATATAATATGTGAAAATTTTAGATAAAAATGTTTACTTGTTGAAACAGTGATGCGCAACTAACCACATTACTCTTAATTACGACTCCGAATGGACTCATAAATTGCAAGAAAATAATTAACGCTAAAGTTTACCCCACTCAATTTAGCCTTGAGTTAATTTCCACCCGGTTTACGTAAAAATTATACACCATTAATCTAAAGTAAAGCCAACCAATTCTATTTTGTGGCGAACGAATAGGGTCGGAAACTCCTCTAGAAAATGAGGAAGTACATCAAATGTGTGTTTGTAAATTAAACTCATTCCGAAATTGCTTTAATTTATTTACGTGCTTTAAAAAAAAAGTTTTATTATTCATTTGTTGGTATTTAAAAATTTAAATGATTATGATTGCTGCCGCAATATAAAGCGTGTAAGTGAAAGAGGGTGATAAAAACTCGTGCCAATCCAAGCGACGGAAAATTATTAGTATTTCCCGGGCGTGTCGGATGTAAGTGGACAGCAAGGAGAGGGCGAAGCGAGGGGTGTTTTTCGGCAGGATTGTTTCGGGACAGGAACGCATGACACAGCCGGCAGCAGCGCATACTGCTCTGGACAACCATATTTATTGCAGTGAAATTTAAGCGTGTCTGGAAGGTTTATGGTCAGGCCGGATTGCGGAATGCACGATTTGTGAGCCTCAAATTATGCACATATTAGACCGGATGCCATGGAAACGTTGGTGTCCCGGATATGCGCACTCCACTTCTTTCCTCGTCGTCTTGGTAAATAACGCGAAGGGGAAACAATTGAATTGCTAACGTGAAAAACTTTTCTGCGCGAAAGGGGAAGCTGGAATGTTGTTTGAACGTTTGCCGGACCATTTCCAAAAGATATCACGTTACAGTACGCTATTGTAAGCGACAATCGAAGTTATGTATGAGCACAAGTGGAGGGTCTCTATTATTATTCAGTAGGGAAACTATATTCATTTCGTAACGTATATTTTACCCTCTATACTGGCTAATGCTCGTGACACGTTAATGAATCCTTGTTAAAGATATTAGTGTTAAACTGACCAAATCTAAATTATATATAGGTATTCCTTGTATCTATTCAGTTTTATTAAGAAAGTTGTCATACAAAAATAAACAGAAATATTAATTTAATATTACATCAAAATTTTGAAAAATATCTGCTTCATCAATGACAACGAAGAAAAGTTAACCGTGAACCTTACATATGAACCAAAAGCTGTGATCCCAACCAAGATAATTGCGTCCAGATGTAGTTTTAGCCCTCCAAAGCTACACTTCACCTTAGCATAATATATACCGAATACTCTTCCATAAACGCAATGATCTCTTCGACTTTATCGACGGCGATAGCAAGGATGGTGGGTATTAAGTATCAAATACCAAGTTGCGCAGACATGGAAGAAAAGAAGAAGAACGCAGAATGAATTAAACAACAGGCGCGTTCCGTTTGGCGTTCTCTAAAATAAGGGAAGGTGTCTTACAAAAAGTTCAATGATACATCGCCAAGAAAGCACGTTTCTAAAAAGTACTACCAATACAAACACATACATTCCTATATAGCCCCAGCAACTGGAAAGTCCATGAAACACAATGCTACTTTTGCCATTATTGTTTGAGACTGATAAAGTATTCTTTAATTCAACTGGGTGAAAGTACCACCGTTGAAATCAAAAAATGCTGTTCTTGCCCAAACACCATTTTCCACATACTCTCAAGCCTTTGGTCCTCATTTGAAGAAAACAAGGAGTCGCCAATGCGGCTCACTCTGCTTAACACTTCAAATTGGTATAATTTTACCAGCTCTTTCGCACCTATCTTGATGTACCACTTAGTACTTAAGTACTATGTTCTAACTACTCTTACATATATGGAAAAAGTAACGAAATTTCGTACTACTCTTACATAGTTGCTCGTGACAAATGCAAGGTGTAGGTAAAAGATAAAAACTGTTAGCTTATAATCAATAGAAAATAAAGAATTGAAATCAAGATTCAGTAATTTAATAGTATGACAAATTGAATGGCATATCAGAGCAAATGACGCGTAGCAATGTTTTGAAAAGACATAGCAAGAAGGTGAACGTAACATAAATTTTGTGATACTTTTATTTGAAGAAAATAGCATCAAAAAGTTTCTGTAGAACCAAGAATGAATCTTGAATCTCCTTTAAATTCACCATGATTTTGAAAGATAATTACTGTTAGGTTAAGTTTAGACGATTTCTTAAAACCGAAACGTAAAACTATATAATATAATATATTGAAATATTTATCGCTGAAGCAACACACATGTTTGTTCACAAAGAATGTGAATGCAATATGAAAAGTATTTTTGGCATCATTTGTGTTACTTTAAGGTTTAATGGTAAAAAGAACACAACAAAACTAGAACAGTAATCAGAGGCGAAAATTAATTAAAAATGTCAGCAATACTCAACCATTGTTACGGTTGGAGTTGATTTTGATTTTTTTTTGAGGGTTTTTAAATGATTTTCAAAGCGCAATGGTTTATATTAGTTTATTTTATTGCTCGATGCAAAATTGAAAAATTGTATTCTATTTTTGTTTGAAAACATGTGGCGTGACGTCGAACTCGGAAAACCAGTTTGCGCGTGGACGATTGGTGCATTTTTCTGAAAAGAAGAGTTGAACGAAAGGTTTTGGGGAAGACGTTCGTTTAGAGTAAAGTTCTTACTTACCTTAGAAAAAGGGAATTTATTGAGCGATTATTCTATCCCAGTGTAGGGTGGTGTGTTTTTTTTTGAGTATTTTTGGTTAACATCATCACCATTCGCTTATGCGGAAGTTATAACCTTTCGAAAAGAATCTGTGGAAACCGACCAACAACTAAGGTTTGTACACCATCTTGGCGTGAATTATCGATTTATCTGGAAACAAAAATTTATTTAATATAACTGTATCTAGGTTTCAACTTATACTAGTTTTCAAGATAGTACTAGTTTCGAATTTATTAATCGTACTTAATTAATCAGGAGCAGATTAACTGGAGATCTTCATAAGTGTTTACGTCATCGCTAGCGTGGTAACCTGGTGAACCTTGGTGGAGACCTAAAAAAAAGAAGATAAACCAGATAAGTTAATTTAACTATTTTAAATTACGAATCAACTTACTTGTGTCGAGTAACTAACATTGAATTCTTTATTTCGGTATTATCGTGATTTCAATAATTCAAGTTAGTAAATATTTTTTGTTTTGTTTTCTTTATTTTGTTCGAGATATTATTTAATTTTTTTTTATGCATTTTCTTAATGTTGTTGTGAGGGGAAACACAATGTAATTACACAATTAATGTTAAGCTTATGCGGACCAGAGTTATTTATTTTTGTTATTGATTTTAAAAGGTATTTTGCATTGCTTTGGAGTTTGAAATTTCTCGCAAAAATTTCTGGCGCTCAACATTTAATAAATTTAATTCGTATTATATTTTTTTTTACATCACTGTTTTATTTACTCACACCCGTCTTCACTGAATTAGCCGTAAGCACCCGCAATAGGGTTACATATATTTTTTTTGTGTCACCATAAAATTCCACAATTAACAAAATTGTGATGAGAACCATGCAGTAAGATTGAGTTATAAGATATATACCAAAGAAGTTCAAAATGAAATGGGAGATTGAGGAAATGAAAGATCTAATGAAAGACAGTTATTGAAAAAACGGGCAGTGTTGTTAGCAATAAAACTAAAACTAGAAACTTCCGGGTTACACCGTGTATCTCTAATATTATACCAAAAAGAAGAATAAGATTTGTATTGCCTATTTTAAGATAATGTTTTAAATTTGTTATTATAGTTACGTTATAACGTTATGACTTTGTCTTCTACTATCTCCATCAAACGCAGAAGCAATAAAGTTATTTGATGTTCAGCGCTAGCGTAGTTGTTCACTTTCTTTTTAATATTCGTCTACTTAAGTTTATGGAAAAATTGAATTGGAAGTGTTCATATGAATTTTCTGCCTGTCTGTATTCTCTATGATAATATATGTAAACAATAACAAATTTAATTAGCGGTCAACATTATTGGATGTTAGAGGAAAACATCCTCTAATTTCGGAAATACGATTGAAGCAACACATCATTGATCCTGCAACGTCAAAGGATACAAGTTGAAACGCAAATGGTATCCATCAGTCGGTTTATTAGCGAATCAGAGTTGATGTTTAGCAAATTTGCGAGAGCGGTTTGTGCTAAAATCCGCCCGTGTTACTCTAACGTTGGCTAAACGGCTATGTGTATTTAAAGCGCAGTTTATATGCACCTTTCCGGAATAGGTCGACCTAGACCGCGGTTCGGTTTTGTGTTACCCCGTTTGCGTTCGCAATCCATTCGACCCGATAATGAATTCAAACAGCCGATATGCGTTGTCGGTCCTAAGCGGATAGATTGCTAGCATCGTATCGGCCATTTCCTGTTGATTATGAGCTACCAGTTGTTTAATCTGTGTACATGTATTTTGATACGTGGGTTTTAGATTCTTTTGAAATAATCGTCACGTTTGTTTTGGAACAATTCCGGAATGTACGAACGATATATTATTTTGATACAAAGACGCAGAGAGTAATCCAATAAACCATGCAGCGGCCAGGCGCGCTGGGATTATATGACGTTGAAGAGATTTATGTCCACATCGGTCATAAAGCAGGGTCCTGCAGATTTCAATTAAATTCGGTCAAGTGGAACGGTGCGCCGACGTATATATTGGTCAATTAGTTGGGTGTTATTCGATCGATACCCTTTGGTCAACTACAATTATTAACGCAACTATTGATGGAACTATGTTGATTGTGGTTTAGACTTTATTGTAATCGTTTTCTAAATACTACAGGTATACCATTTGTACTTCTAAAAAATAAATCGGCCATAAATTCAATTTTATGATCAACGTGTACAATCTCGAATTCCCTTATAATCTTTATTATAAATAACTTCATTGCAGTATAAGCAATAAATTTTCCTGGGCATCCTTTAACTCCGTATCCAAATCCTAAAAACGCTTTTTGAGATTTTGAGGTAGCGTTTTCTTTTAAGAACCTCGTCGGTTTGAAACTTAAAGGATCTTCGTAATTTTTTTCTGATGTTAATATACCTGGGATGTCAAAGAAAACTTGGGTATTTTTTGGAATTTTTGTACCACCTAAAAATGATTATTATAAAGTTATTTATATCACATTTTTTCATTCTGTTATGTACCTATTTCCATGTCATAATTAGTTATTCTATCTAAAAATGGTACTGACATGTACAATCGAATCGATTCTTTTATAAAAGCATGCAAATACGTCATTTTATTTATGTCGTCCATGGTTACTTCTTTAATATCGGTGCCAATAATGTTTGTAACTTCATTAAAAAGAGTTTGTTGAATCTCCAAGTTTTCACCAAGATTTCTTAATGCCATTGATAATGGTCGAATAGTTGTTTCATGTCCCTGAAATAGAAAATATGTTTGTATATTATTTATTCAAAACAATTAAAACAGATTTATTTTGGACTTTATGTTAGAATGTAATGTATTAGTTGGATATGGTTCTTTTTCGCATATTCTTAAAGTTGTTCATCATATAACCAATTTTATTTTAAGATCTGGTTGTATTCTATAATTTGAAGTGATCCAAATTTCATGTCCAGTGCTCTTTTTCTTGTTTACATAAACTTTTCACCTCAAGTTGGTGTTAAGTGTCATGTCTAAGTTTAATCTTTTACTCTACTCACATATACCATCGCTGGTAGTCTGCAATATTTGCGAATGTAGCCAGTATTACATACAGTAAACATCGAAGGACACTTCTCTGAAGTACTTTTGCTTGCACTTCCCTTAAGTCTGAATATGTGTAATGTAGTTTAATCTTAAAGGGTATGCTGTGTTCGATGTTAAGGTTTCTACAACTTGTTTTAGCAAGATTTTATTCAAAAAAACCGATTATAAAACTTTTTAAGATGAAATTTCCTCTCCTAGCATCTGTTCGCAGCAAGGCTTTTTTATGTGAAGACTGTTGATTATTTAGGCGATGAAGATAAAATTTTTCTTTTCTTGTTTATATTTTACTTAGCTTTATATTTAGTTGCTTGCGTGTGGAGAAAATATGTTTTTTCATGTAAGGCGACTATCGAAGTACATACCTAGGTATTTGGCATATTCTGCTTTTGGTATTAACGTTTGTTGATGTTCACAGAAGTATATAGTTTCTCTACGCATAGAAAATGTGGCATTAATTATTAAACTCAATGACTTTGATTCGCTGCGTTGCCATTCACTTCTGAATTATGTTTAAATTATGTTGTAGTATCTATTAGCATTTAGATCCTGATTAATTTGGTCAAACAGGAGGGCAGTGAAATATGAAGAAAGAATAGAAGGGAGGCCAAACTGCGGGATCTTGGGGAAGTGTTGGAGGGAAATTAGAGAGGAAAAAGTCAGATATGGGAAAGGAGACAGAGACAACTATTATAGACGAGCGGGCTACTCGGTAACTGAGATAAATAGTAGACGAAGGGTGGGTAGGGAGATGTGGAGGGAGAAATAAGGACCGAGATGTGCAGAGACAGGAAAGAAGACCACAAATAAAAGAGGGAAGGTATAACAAAAGGTACAGGGACATAATTACGGAGGGGCTGCCTAGATACTTGTTACTGGAAGGAGATGAGGAAGGAAAGTGGTTGGTGGCTAGGTTCCGTTGTGGAAACGAGGAGAGAGCTAACAGATACTGGATGGCCGATGAGGAGAGGTGGTGTAGGCTATGCAGGGAGGAATGGGTGAATGGGCAGTGAGTTGAGGGAGGAGGAGTTGGACCCAGGGCAGATCTTAGGAGAGGGGGGAAAGGGGAAACGATGGATGAGAATGGTCGTGGGGGTGAGGAGACAAAGGGATGGATGACGGGATGATTGGGCCGAGGAGCCGATGGTGTCGAAATAGAGGAAGAGGGTAGAGGGTGAAAATAATATTTTAATAATGTAAAGAATTGTAGAAGTGTAGACAGATTGTTGTATACAATAAACCCTTAATTAATTTGGTCAATTATCCTATGAACTTAGCCCGTAACTTAGTTTTCGACGACCTTGGAGAACAATCTTATGGATCTATACGAGATGATCTCTTCTGGCTTTCTTTCTGGACTGTAAGTCATAATGATTTGAGCAACTCTCTAGGTATTAGGGAAATAGTTTGTTCTTAGGATAGCATTAAATATGAAAGTTAATAGTTTGCAACATTTTTGGATAGCTCCTATGACATTTTTCCAGTAATAAGGTTAAATCATGGAGCCTTTTTATATTTATTTCATTATGACTTGTTTTTCTTTCCATTAATTGTGAACAATGAGACAGTTCGATAGGAAATGGTACATCTAAGGAGCTAGTTATGGCAGTTTTTGCCTTGGGATCTTCTTTGTTATTTCTAGTCTAGAAATTATTCTCATCTAATTGGGGGAGGGTGTTTTTGTAAGATTGTCTAGGTATTTTTGAATATTTTGGTTCTATTCCTCCTATATTAAGTTCTGGTCGATAGGCTTTTTGCCATCTCTTCCGCCATTGTCATTCTTCGGCAATCTCTTTTTTGACTGATGAAAAAGTCTTTCCCTAGTAGTGTTTCATAGTCCAGAGTTGCATGCCAGGCTGCTTCTATGTGCAGCTCAAATTTTAATGGTTGACCTAGCGAAATTAGTTTATATAATTCTCTGAATGCACCTCAATTGGATTTTTTGATTGTTACCATTGAGTGGTCTAAAGGCAAGACAAAGCAGATTTCTGTTGTACGTTTCTTTACATAGATAACATCTCGGATTTTTTTTTGTATGTTAGTTCGCCAGCAGATATTTTCTGCAAGTTGTTTGCTTTCATTGGTTTAACTAATTTGTTGTTGTTAATCTTGAACCCCATTATAATAGCGTTATAATCACTTCCTGCAACAAACTTCTTTCCAATTATGGCAGAATACACGTAGTGTTTATTTTTGTTGTTATATTTCGGTGCACAGTGTATGGCTGACATTGTTATTGGCCCCAGTTATACTTTGCTCTTAAATTATTAATAGATTATTGAGTGCTTGGGCATATGATAAAATGTTCGGTTTAGTTTATATTAAAGTAATATTAAATGGCTTATTATCTTTAATTGTTAATAATAAAACTTACCCCTTCTATTAATGTATTTAAATTATCAACGATTCTTCTTTCAGGCATTCCATTTTCAATCATGGCACAAATTAAATTAGATTTGTCCCTCAAACTTTCGTCAATCCCTTTAAACTTTTCTAACCAATTCCACACAAATTCCATTATTTCATTGTGACACTTCCTCATCGATTTATAATTATCACTAAATTTATGTAGAAAGCCCACATATTTAATCGAATTCATCTTCTTCATTAACAAATCGAAATAATCTTCTTTATTTTTATTATATTTTTGAATATCTTCTTTATTTATTTCAACATTGGGATGATTAAAAGTTTCTACTAATACGTCGATAAATATTTTATGAAATTCCTTTTCTATATAAATAGGCTTTTCTAGATTATTTCTTATAATATCCAATAACTTGTTATATCTTTCGTCATAAATACTTAATTTTTCTCCTATATACTTCATGTTTAATGTTTTTGTTATTATCTGCTTATCTTTCATCCTCTCCTCATCTACAAATTAATCATTTAAGAAAATTAATTAATTAATTTGGTGTAGAATACAATTCCCGTTCAAAGTAATACTCGTTTCTATAAAAGTTACTTCCCCAAAACTAGGTGTTACAAAGTGATCGTTTGCTTTAAAAAGTTTGTTGCAGTACTCCATATCATTAGTAATAATCAAAGGTGGGAATGGTTTCATCCAAACTTTTACAATTGGGCCATAAATCGTTGTTAACGACTGCAAATAGGCGATTATCCCTAAAAATGTCGGAAAATTTTTGATTTAATTAAGTTATAAAACATCAACATACCTTTTGATGACGCATTAAAATATAATTCTTTAATTAATTGAAAAGTAGAGGGGCCGGGAAGTTTGTTGATACCTTCATATTGTTTAATATAATTTTTATAGGTGAATATCACAAAAATTATAATCCCAAAGACAAGAGTTAATGTGATCATTTTCGCATCAAAACCAGTAATAAACAAGGTCAATGAATGCGATTCAAGTTAAAGGTCACATTGTATACGTTGATAATTTGAAATTCCGAGAAGATATTGCGATGTGGAATATTCCCCGGACAGTGTACAATTCAGATACAGGAATACGTTCTCGAAAAATCCCGTTAGGAGCTTTCTTGCGCATACGATCAACCTCCAAGCGAGGTACGAAGAAAAATAGAATAATTCACCGGAAATAAAGGGCATTCCGCGGGTAAAATATATTGTTATGGAGCAGAGCCAGGAGTCGCGAGGACGTTTTATTATGGGTATGTCAAGAGGCGCAATATAACTCGGGAAGCATCTGTCAGGGCAGATTTTATTACAAGTCAACCACTTCACATTTTTATCCTGCACGCCGAACGCATAAATTTATATATAGGGCCAGAAGACAGAAGGAAGTCGAGGGTGTGGACGAAATTTTTACATTACGATTTATAGAAGGCCGACAATTCCCTGTCTTATATCTTTATGTTACACACTTCCACCTGAGTATTAAAATTTATGGGACCCTTTTATTGAGTTTAAAATTTTAATTTGTTTTTAAAAACGTTCATTTAAAACAACATAGTTTTTACTTTTTACTGTTCACCTAACACGTTTTACCTCTTATCTGGCCTTGTCGAGAAATGATGTTGAAAAATCACTCCGGGGTCACAATTCTCGTTTACCAAACTTCGGCCGAGTTCTAAGCTTGGGTTCTCCTGTCGGGAATATTGCACTTAGCGCGGGACATATTTAAAGCTCCAAGCTTTCGACAAGGGGACCGACTTAAACTCGAACTTATCGCACTCGAGCGACTCGATTTTTTTTAACATCCTTTTTGAAGCCGATATTTTAGCAACTGGATACTGTAAATTCCATTACTTTCAACGTCATTTTCACGGTTCTCCCACTGGGATTTTCGTTTATTTACCTCCAGTTCATTTTCAAGATTGGCGAAAGCGTACACAGAGAACGAAAAGAAAAAATAAATGGTACTCGTGTCGTCGGTCGTTGGCTTCTATTTGGCGCCCAACACCTGTTGGTATTTTCTGTAAGAATTTGTTAGTGAATTGCGAAGAGAAAACTTTATTTCCTTCAAATGTTTTATAAAGAATATTATCCGTACATAAATTTAAACTCGTTAAATAGCATTAAAAGATTATCTCAAATTTCGCCTTTCTCTAAAAATTTTCTATACTACGAATTTTGTATGAAGAAGTAATATTACTTATAGTAATGACATAGAAAAGCACTTAGCTCCGGGAGGGTGCACTCATTCACATAGATATAAGTTCTTCCAGAAGGGCCATTTGGAAGACTGCCTCCTGCCGACGGCCAAACCAAAAAGCGAAAGAGACCTTTTTTTGGGAGATTTCCCAAGCGGGGTATTAGGGCAAGACATTACGGCTCGCTTAAGGGGGGCAAATCGACGTCTAAAATTTTATCGACTCGGTCAATGACGGATTAGCGTGCACTCCTGCTTCCGGCGGCGATCAAATCCTCTAATCCGCGGATTGTATTTTTCCTCTAGGTCATCCCATTGAAAGGAAAAAAGATCCCTTCTGGCCTACACAATAAGATAAATTGTTTCGTCTCTAGGGTGATGGAGCGCATCACGATAATTGAAACTCGAAATTGAACGACCGATAATCAAACGAATCTAAATCGACATTCGCTCTTAAGAAAACGAATAACTTTGCGGTTACTTTCTAGTCATTCACCATGTGTTACGAAGTGTATGGCGTTTTAATATTTAATATCTTAGAAATGTTTCACCAAGGAAATAGATAATCGATAGCAATTTACTTGCAACACCGAATGTATATTGGTTAATGTTATCTTACAGCAAGTTGAAGGTAATTATACCAATTAAATGATACCCAACAAATTTATCATGTACACAATCATTCATATCAATTATTATTTAAGATTAATAGATCTAAAAGTGAGAGTAATTGTTGATTTCTCTTATACAAGGTGAAAAAACAATTAAAAGACTATTTTAAATTAAATTAAAATTAGTAATTTAGAAATCCCAAAGCGATGCCCAAAATACGAATTAATTAGTAATTAATGATTGAGGCAAATTTCAAAAAGTAATGTTGAAATTATAAAAATCGCCTATCCTATTTAGGTTATGAAATAACTCTTGCAACATAATAAACATTCTATCAGGAAACATAAAAGTTATTGCTTTGGTGTGGAATAGAATTTGTAAAGACAAGTTAAGTAATAGTGCGTTTTTGATGAGGTTGTGATAGATCACAAAAAATAACGATGAAGTTTAAAAAAACTCTTAAAGAAAATATGTAGCGTTTATAATACGTTAAATCTCTATGAATATAGAGAATAGATTCTGGATCGTGATCATACACTATTACAATTCTGTCCTAGAGCTGCTAGTAGTTTTACTATAGGTATTTGTATCTAGCAAAATGTTTATCTTATGCTCGTTTTCTCTATAACCATGGATAGAAACTACATTACTTTAGTCTGCAGTCAAAAGAATTATATAATTCTTTCTTTTGTGCTACATAGAATTTTTCTGTCACCAGCCATCAAGTTGAACTTTGGTTTAACTAATACTTTGGTAATGTATTAGTGTAGTGCGAGAAATCACGCGTCGGGGAAAAGAAAGTTCAAGGAAATCTTCTCCGTATGAGCTTTAGTGTCGTCCTCCTACAATCAGATGCTGTCAATGTCAATTTCATTTTCTTCAAGATAAGGATTAAAAATTCTTGAACCATAGCGAGATACCGGCAGAATTAACTGTCACTGCCTGTGTTTTCTCTCATTTTGTAAAAAGTAGGGCCGAATTTTTCTGAGTTTTTAAATTCCACATTACACTATCACTGTTGCGTTGTATAGAGACCGTCGGTATTTCTCGCAGATTATTACCATCTTCATTTCCTAAACTTTACAGCATACGCACAATTAATGTTGCTCACGTTGTTGATAATCTGTCCTAAGAAGCCTTTGAACCACCATAATTGTGTAAAGATGAAACTTCAGATGTGCTTAAGTACCGCGTTTTTGCAGAATCTGAATGAGTGAGCAAATTATTATATTAAGATCATTCGCTCGCTAATACCGGAAGGATCAACTATACTGATAGAGGTTCTTTACTTATCAAGAACTAAAACTAAATATTTATTTTAATGTTAAAGCGATTACAATATGGCCCGCTGTTTTAATGGTTCATCATCTGTTTGGCGCTGTATGATCGCGGCTTATCGCACTTTTGATACAATTACTTCCCATGCTCTTCTTATCACTAGCATACACCCTTTTACTGCCATGATATCAGACGCATCCGTTGCAACACATTGCCTCCGATTTTTTGCATTTTCCATGTTGATTCGTTTATTTGTATTTTCTGCAATGTATAAGAATAAACATTTCGGAAGTACTTGCAAAAAGCAATCAAGTTTGGATGAACTCCTATTCAGCTTTGCTAATACAATTGTGTTTCTAGCATGAGGCATAGCTCTTCTGGGTTGAAAATTTGCAATTTTGTCGATACCATACCAGTGTACCACACCATCGTTATTCTTGTTATTTGGCCGAATTATTTATCCGAATCGGAAGAAGAATTTGAAGAGCTATTTGATGAACCTTGATTTTCACCATGATCGTTGTTATTTTTTGGCCATTTGGCTGGAATTTCTTCCCCAGAAGGCTCAAAATCTGAATAACTCGGATTCAGATCACTACAATGGGATTTCTTCTTTCTGGGTTAGATATTTTTTAGCCATTCTGCATTAAAGAACAATTTTTGCACTTCTGCACTACTGGGACAGATATGGCCGATGAAAAATACATATGGACATACACGTACCAACAAGCGCGAAAGGGTTAAGAATATGGAGTTGGGATTTGTGGGGCAGTTGTGTCGCGGCCAATTTTGTTAGCCGAACTACTACTTTGTAGGACATGATTGATCCTGCTATTATGGATGTATTTGTAGAGAGTGGTCATCCCGCTCCGTAGCTACTTTCGCATAATTTTACATCTAGGGTTCGTCCTGACTGCGCATGGGCCCATCAAAGACAGAAGAAAGAGGTTGAACTTAATAAGCGACGATCACTGCTCCTCTGGAGAGACATAGTGTCTTATTCACATGATCACGTATGGTTGAAAGCTCCTGGAGTGTTACTCATGAATGGACAGACTTTTAGGCGATATCGTCTATGAGAGACTGTAATGGGATGATAGCCACAAGGAGATTCCATTTATTTGTGTAGGTGCAGACATACCTCTGCGTGGTTAGGAATGGAAACCCTTCCCTGGTTGCGAGGATAGAGCTAAATGAATCGCGAGCAAGAAGAGTCATTGTGCGGTTATGGGCAATACTCAGATAACGTTTAAAAGTTTCAAAAAAGTTGCAAGTAGTGGTTGTGGTAGAAATTTTCACCAAACAGTATTCATGTTTAGTCGATTTTAATGAATCTGAGAATGACCTCAAGACATTATCAATTAAAAATTGATCTTAGCATAAAACCAAAGGGTCCAAAACCTCACATCATCACTATTAACGACCATGATTTACTGAAATAACTCTTAGAAGTTGCAATAATTCATACTATTAACAGGCTTATTCATTCGTAGAATATAAAAATAGTGCATGATCGATTCCCCATCAATTGTGACCGATTAATTTTTTTTAATATTATGTATCTTAATGCTTTAGTAAAAACGATTCATCTTTATATTCATTCGTGATACAAGATAATTTATACTTTAACATTTTCGGAAATGGATCAAAAGAGATGTAGATGCTCCACCTTTCTAACCTTGCATATAAATCGATGTATTTTAGATCGCAGAATATTTAAAACAAGCATTTTCTCAATAATTTAAGAATACTATAAAAATAGGAATATATTAATTGCATTATACTCGCGTGATCTTTTTTTAAGGAAGCGGAAATTCCTTTTCCTGGTAGTTTCTTCTACAATGAATTATTTTAATACTTTTTACGAGCAACACTTTTATTCTTTAGTATCGAATAAAGTTACATTATACATCATTAGTATATTGGTACTAAATTTGGAAATAAAGATCGTACAACTGGAGCTTCTTCATTATGCACCTCAATTTTCTTTTTTGCAACGTTGTCTAATTTGGTGTAACAATAACACATTCTCTGGTAGCACATCGGAGATTGATTTACTTCGGCGCATTTTTGTTTGCATTCATCTCCGGGTTCACGTTCTCCAAGACAATAGTGTTTCCCTAAAAGATAAATGTTAATTAAAGAAAATAATTTGATTAAGTTGTATTCCTCACCAACAACAGCAAGAGATGTTACGGTATAAATGAGAATACCAACGAGAAATATTACGGATAATTTAGACATTTTCGTAGTTACACAAAAAAAATCAATGAAAGAAATGAGTAGGAACTGAGGAAATGTAAAGTTTAACGCAAAGTCAGGTTCTTTATACAAACCTTTAATTATGTCATAAAATGCGTTAACTCGTATTTTCAAAAGAACGACGTCTATTAAAAACGGTAACAAATGCTTAACACAACCAACTTTAATGGTCGTTTTATTGTCGATAGAAACACGGTACATGATACATGAAAGAAAAATTAATATAGTTGACTTTACATTACCTGGTTTGGGAGTATTTCCTAGTTAGTATTTGTAACCGCTCCGAATCGTCCGTATCTCTAGTTTGCTAACTAGCATATTACCAGGTCAGCAATCGCTGACGTAGACAAGTTTTCTCACAAAGTTACATCCTCAGATACATACATATACACGTACATCGGTGTGGGCCGTACATCGTTAATATTAATACCAACTGCCGCACCACTACATAACCGAGTAATTGCGCAAGATAACTCGGTTACTAATTACTGTAGTTAGGCAACTGCTTTCTGCACGACACCGAAGCTCTAACAATAGAATTTCTACTTAGCTCCCAATTATCATTTTGAATTATAATAACTGGACAATATCACATTTCCTAAACTGCGTCGAAAACTTGAACTAAATCGTATATATCAAAGTTAAAGTAAAAATAAATAGTTAATAAACACTCAATAACACATTGAAGTAGTGAATTGCATGATGAAATTCTATTGATTTCAAATATCAAGTTTTACAAACATAGGAGTATAAAATTTAATCGCATTTTATTACGGTAGTAATTAATTTCTTAAATGTACTTAGATGTATGTAGGTTATAAAAGTTTCACGCGAGTAATTTTTCTTCATAACGTTCAAGGTTCGAAAGTCGCACAAAAGTCATGACTACTAAATTTAACACTGGGATAAAAATATAACTGTAACTGCAATTCGATAAGTACTAAACAAATCGATACCGTAACCCGATTTCCATAAATCCTTTCAACACCGATAAGGTAAATAATAAATTATGAAACAAAATATTGCATAATTTATTTTCATTTCACCTAAAAACGTTTTTAGAAAGAAAAAAAAGATCTTGCGGTGGTCAATCGTCCGGTAACTAAAGAAAAGCTTTTTTTTTCAGGAGGCTGTACAATACAGAGAATACAGTGACCCTGCTATTGTGCAATTCCTTTCTCCTCTAGCTCGAAAGTGTCCCGACGAACAACCAGAGATACTAACGGCTTCGCACGTTGGAAGTAGGGGATTGCGGCTTATATATAAAACACCTCCCCCGGTAATTGCAAAAGTTTAGCTTTTGGCGCCGACGTTCGCCCAGTTCGGTTACTCGCTTTTTATCAATAAGACAAACGATGATCTCCAATAATTTATTATCATTGTGTTACCTTACTTTGTTAACCTTAGTTCGACGGTCTGCGGCCGCACCGGTTTCCCAACCTGCCTATCCCACGGGAGACTACGCCGGGATTCAATCGCTACTACCCCAACAAGAACAAAGCCAACCGCTGTATATAAGTATACCTCGTACGCCAACACCGCAACCGGCTGTTTACAATGCAGCAGCCCCTGCTTACACACCACCAACACAACTCGTCCCTCAATTGCTGTTACCCACAAACGTTGATAGACAAGTATTATCTTTAACTTTATAACATTATAACTTTTCTGATCTAAATCATATTTAGATTCAACGAGTAGCAAATAAAATTGCGGGACCTGGTTATGCGGACACCCTCTCAGTTCAACAACAACAAGGACTTGCAAATCAAGTACAAGCAACAGCCGAAAGAAGAGCAGCTTGGCAAGCAAGTAGACAACGACAAGCTATAGTAGCAGCAAACGAAGCAATCGCAAGGGCAACGCAAGAAAGAGAAGGCGGTGGATACGCAGCTGCGCAAACACCGAACCAGTATCAAGTCGAATATCAACCGCAATATGTGTATCAACCTGAACCTCAAGCTCAATATCAAGTTCAAACTTCCGTTAAACCACCCAAACAGTATCAACCACAAATTTATCCAGCTCAAGCAAGATCAAATGGTAAACAAGCTGAAGAGGAGGAGCAATATGATGATGTATGTTTTAATTTTTTTTGTTTTGCTATTTTAAATTAGCAATAGAAACGTACAAAGCGTGTTTCGCAAACTGGACCGGTGAATAAACTTCTGGAAAACTGTCGTATATCGTAGCGTTCGCCACGTTGCACCAATTGCGCCGGGGGCGGTGTTATTAAAGCCGTATCGCACCGGCGGCGGGCAAATAAACAAACTAAATAGAAATGCCGGCGGCCATTCGGTGAGCAATTATTTCTAATTTCGCGGTACACTTAAACATACTTTTTACTTTTTAATTTGCGAAAGTTTTGTCGCTTTCCACATCAAATCCATTTATCTTTTATAATAATAATAATTAAAACAAAACTGTATGTTCACATTAATACGCATTAATATAACCTTGATAATTATATTAATGTCGCTTTTATTAGAACGTGATTTGAAAGTACTCGAATAAGGTTGATTTAAATCATTGACTCATCTACATTAATATTTAGACGCTTTAAGCAATCATCGTTGGAATAAATTTCCAAGGCCAAATCTTCGCGAAGGGTATTTATCGGATCGGTATTAGGCAAAACGCATTTCACAACTTTAAGAAATATTGGGTCGCGTTTATCTGCTGCGCCTCCACCGAAGCGCAACATTAATACAAATGAAAGACGTGTCGTGAATTTCAAACAAATGGTTTATCGACCAGAAATGGCCCTCCAAAACGAAATTAAAACGAAAACTCGACATTACAAACGCCGCGCTTCCATTTATCCCAGTAGAATTTCAAATTTCCGGTATTAACTCCATATCGCCAACGGCATCTCAATATTATCAGTAATACAAAGGTTCATTTTGGCGTTATTATTAATTCTCTCTTCATTTCTAATCTTCTTTATTTACGATCTATATATAGCATCAAATTTATTTTACGTTTCGAAGTAACACCTTTTTTTTTCCTGCAATCTCATAAGGTCAACACTGTAATAGAAGTGGCCTTTACCCAAGTTGGCCACTTCGCTACTCCAACCGCACGTTTATTACGTAACGACATCCCGTAACAGCTCTTCACCGTCGCGTTTCTCGAACGTCGATTTCGCCGGGATTGCATCGCGACGTCAATTACTTTCAAGATGCCCTTTTGTCCTTTCCGCAACCAGCTTGGTGGGATTATGATGTTCCCGCAACGCTAAATAGGGATATTTATTGCCTATAGATGTCGAAACTGCGCTCTTCTCCGTCCCTCTATTTTGAGTTAGATAAGGTCTCGGTAGACCATCTCCAAGAACAATGCATTCACGAACAATGCGAGAACCTATAGTTCGTGGTCGATCGAGAACTAATTGAACGTTACTTAACAATGCCGTTAATACGAAACTTGTATGGATGCAGTCTTATATACTCTAAATGCAGCTAATTAATACCAATAATAATTGTTCTGTATAATACAAAACATTAGTAATAATGGGCAACTTTCTGTTTGAATGTGCGTGTAATATGTTTATTAAGACCATTTGGTGATATAATTTTGTTAGCATAGAAACTTTTCGCAATATCTTAATAACCGCTTGTCTTTTTTCTGAAGTGTTTCGTAGATTTCTTACAATTTTTTAGGAAAGAAGACGTGAAAGTCGCCCAGCCAACGGCGACGACGTGGCTCTCCGCAAAAATTTCGTCGCCAAAAAAACTTCCGCTCACTTTCACCCGAGATTCCGCGAGCTCGTTGCCGTACTAAGTGAGTTCGTTAGTGCATGACTCCCAACCATCAATTATTAACCGGCGTTAAATCGAGCGCAGTCCAGAAATAAAACAACAACCTTGTCTAGTGGCGGTTTGCCGGAAATGAGTTTCGGTTTCGCATGAGCACGTTAGGTTTTAGGAGAGATTATCATTATCATGCATAAAATTAATTGCATTCTCTACTTGTTTTCAACAAAATTTATGTTGCACATGTGATTAAACGGAATACACGGTCTTTACCGTCTGGTAAACTGAGAGTTGACTGCTTAACTTTCACTTAATTGCAAACCAGAACGGTAACGCACAATGGTTATGCAATATATAGTAGCTATTGACGTTTAATTTCCGGTAATTTAGATGTATCGAGTTAAATTTTCAAGATATGTGAGTCAGTAATTGCACGTGAAAGTACCGTTTTGAAAGTCATGTGATATTCAGATTACTTTTTAGGTCGATACCGATTACGACACTAAATTCTGAAATTATTGCAATGCGTAAAATTGAATTATACTTATTTAACAAAAACAAACCGTGAAATAAATTGATACTTTTTTAATTCTTTTAGGCGAATTCTTCGTATAAATTTGGCTTTGACGTAACGGATGATGAAAACACTAACTACCATAACAGACAGGAACAACGTGACGGTAAGAAGATTTCGGGCAGTTATTCAGTTGTAGATTCAGACGGGTTCATTAGAACTGTTACTTATACTGCAGATCCGGAGGAAGGATTCAAAGCAGAGGTGGGTAATCGTGTTACAACACGCCTTCTACATTAATTGTATACAATTGAACTTTGCGCGGACCCTAACCGAATTATCAATTTAACCAACACCGACCTCCGGGGCGACACCATCCCAGAATAGTTATTATCCCTTCTCGTTATCACGATTACTAACTGAATTAAACTATTTTAATATAGAAGAAAATCATTTTCTTAGTATGAATAGAAAAGAATTCCTTTAGCGTCTATTATGCTTATGTATTCGGATTGTAGGCTTAACAAAGCAATAGTTCTTCCCTGCTTAATTTCTCATAACATAGTGATCGATTATCAATGTATGATAAGATAACTGAAAATTTTTGAATACAAAACTACAAATTTATGATTATGAGACATAGTGACATTGTTTCGTGGTTTCCTCACCTATCTCATTCGTCTTATATGGCCAAACCAAGACAGCTGTCTATCTTCAATCATTCTCTCAACCGGCTGCATATTGAGCTCTTTTCGAAAACGACTGTTCTGTACTTTGTCAAGTCATGACTTTATAAACCTTTATCTTGGCCTTTCGGCTTACTTCATCCTTTAGAAGATATTGGAGTGATAGAAGGCATCTTTAGATATTGATAGCTATTAACCTGGGTGAGAAGTTGACCATCACATTCGATGTGGATAACTTGACTTTTCACCTTGTTCAACATCATGCCCGTCTGCTTTAGAGTTTCTGACCACTCGAGTACAATCTGTAGCAATTTCCTGTCCGAGCCTGCGATGAGGACTACATTATCTGCATATATCAGAGTTGTGAGGGAGTCCCTTTCTTCTCTACTACTTTTCAGACCTCTTGCCTTGGCACCACAAACTGCAATTCTTAATTACTAAACTAAAACTAACTACTAAGGTTAAAAAATTCACTCCAAAAATTAGTAAGGCATCATCAGCAATATCTGTAAACATATTCCTCGCTACGAGAAATTGTTGGAAAAAATATATATTTCTAAACAATTACAATTTATTTTTTTTTCGTTTGATGGATTTTACAAATTTGTCTGTCATTCATAATGAAATAGTAAATATTAACGATATTATATTGTGTTGAGTTGGCTTGGGTTGGGTTTTATAGGTTGCGGTGATACAGTCGGTGTCCCTGTATGCATCTTCAGCATGGAAGATTTGCTGAAATATAGCAAATAAAAGAAATAGCTAAGAGCGATAGATAAAAAAGTGCTAATTTGTGTCACTTCTGCATACAGAGCAGCAGCAACGTAGGCCGGCTGATCTCTAACCGTGGGCTTCCCATACGGCTTGCTTGCTTTTTCGCAAGTAGCTTGCAGTAATGCATATAGCGATCCCATAATGCTGAAAACCTAGAAATGAAAGAAAAGGAAGGGGGGAGTTTTAGTGCCGGAACCTTGTCCAATGAAATCTGAGTTAGTGAAGTGCCACACACTCGATATGGTCAGTTTTTGATTTGCCATAAAGCTTTTTCTTCTCCCCAGCAAAAAAACACAAAAAAAAAACGAGGTTGGGTTAGGTTGGGTTATATTGGGTTGGGTTTAGTTTGGTTGAGATTAGTTCGGCTGGGTTGAGTTTAGTTCTCTTATGATGGAGTGAGTTATGAAAAAAGAAGAATATTTCGTCGCTGTTATTCAATTTCTTACTTTGTTTTGTTTATCGCTAATTTATGTTTTGCAAAACGTCATCTTCATAGACTTCTTCTTGATAAAGAATTGGTGAAGTTTTCAGGTGCATTAAACAAGCTGTAGTTAACATTAAACACAGTACAAATTTGTAGCATACATTGCAAAATACAATGTGATGTCACTAAAGACTTCGACCTCTGCCCGAAGTTGTAGTACATGATGTCTAAATGGCATGCGTGATTCTTGCCTTCAATCGGATGAAAAACATACAGGTCTAATGCAGTTTTTACGCGCATTGCGTAGCTTAAGCCAACACCGCCAACAATGACAAAAGTAAAAATGTCTTTATTTCATGAAGATCTTACTGTTAATAACGTAGCCACCGAATTAACCTTGGTTATTTGAAATAGAGCATGCTTCTTCTAAACCATTGTGTTTAGCTCATAGGTCGGAACCCTTATTCACAAATTAAGATCAGTTTAAGAATTACCTTACTGATAACCTTTCTATTGCGATTGTGATCTTTGTGGCATTTGTGTTCAACTCATTACAAAAACAATCCACTAAGTATTAGATTAAGTCATAAACATTCGCAGGAATAAAAGAGATTTCTGGAGAAGATTCTGTAAAGTAATGAAAGACACAGTGCAAGACATAGATGGTACCATAAAACATTAAGTAACGAAGACTTTTGCTTATTGCTGTGTTACTAAAGAACTTACTTAAGTTACCATAGAGAAGCTTGAATATACAGGGTGATTCAAAAAACCGCTGACAGATTTCTAGGGCAGGTAATACATCAAAAATTAAGATGAAAAGTCTTAATATACATGAGCTTGTAAATTCTTAACGAGATATAAGGTTGTCAAAGTTTCTTTAAAATTAAACATTATCTGCAATAAAAAACCCTTTTATAAAAATATTTTCAACACCACTGCTAATTTTGTCAAACGGGCAGTGTTTTCGTGTAAAGTGATTGCGGGGCTAATGCTGTGATAGTAGCGAGAGGAAGTTTTAGGAAAACCAATGTCTTCAACAACAAAATTTTATTAACATTTATTAACAATAATAAAAGTGCGGACGCGCAAGGGGTAACTGCTGACTGATCTGCCGATGACAACTAATAACTGATTACTGCCTGAACTGAACTGATGGTAACTGACTGAACTCTCTGGGCCGATCCTGGTTCCCTTTATCCCCGAATCCAGTAACATCCCCGGTGAAAGCTCTCTTCGAGTCCTTGTCTGGACCAAAAGGATCTGCTGTCCAGATGTACGGAGAAAGTTCTTCTGAATAGTTTCGAACGCTTTCTGGCGACCAGATGTTTGCCACGGAGAGCGTCCAGTAATATCTCCGGTGAAAGTTTTCCGGGAACCCTTTGCCTGGACCAAAAGGGTGTCCTGCCCAGATGACCGGAGAGAGATTTTTTGAACGGTTTAGAAGGTTCTCTGGCGTCCAGATGTTCGCCACAGTGATCAATTATCAATCAATTGGTCTCTTACAACACTTTGATTACAGCAACAATTTTTGATTGGATTAACAAATTTTCTACAAACGTGTTTTTCTTAAAAACTATTACTTTCATCAATGTTTTGTAAGAGACCAGTTGATAGATAATTGATTACTTTACACGAAAATACTGCCCGTTTTACAAAATTAGCAACGGCGTTGACAATATTTTTAAAAAAGGGCTTTTTATTACAGACAATGTTTAATTTTAAAGAAACTTTGACCCGCTATATCTTGTTACGGAGGCATTTGCGACCCCATGTGTATTAAGACTATTCATCTTAATTTTTCATCTATTATCTACTCTAGAAGTCTGTCAACGGTTTTTTGAATCACGCTCTATAATAATATAATAAGTCGTGGATTCATATTTTTAATTTTGATCCGCGCAGAACATTCAAGGCTAATTCTATCAACTTATGGAGATACGTTAATGTAAAAGTGAATTCAAAAATTTCTAAGAAACTACAATATTATAGAAATGTTATTCATCAGCCACAAGATGTTATGTATGCTTTGATAAACTATTGGCATCATTATAGTTTTCAGACTTTCTTGTAACGGAGGAGAAAGTAATGTGTATTTTGGCCATCTCTAAAGCAATGAAATTCTGTCAGACATCTCAATAAAATGAAGACCTTGTTTTCACAACAATCCGATTCTTCATTGAAATTGAAATCCGTATCTTCACAAATTATATTTATACATTATTCTCTACATATACAGTGTGTCCCCGGATAGGTGAAACGACTCTTATAAAATGTAAATTTTTTTCGATATTAGCTGTCATCTTTTGGGGTTCAGGCCTGCTTGATTAAAGACTAATTTTGAACATATTTTAAAATTTTAAAAAACAAGTGAGTGTTGATACTGAAGCTAAAACTTCTTGTGTGTCAGGTAAAGTACCTTTTCTGTTTACAGTATGGTAAAATGTTACTAAAAAAATTTATTCAGAATGAAAAGTTATGGCCATATGCACATTTTCATCAGCCTACTTTGATAAAACCCATTATTTATTATTTTCGTTAATAGTACTTTATTACGACTTTTTGTTTTGAGATTCAGATATTCGGGAGAAATAAACAAAGCGTTCTGAAAATGTTTACAAGAAATTAAGTGTGTGTTCGCCCACAAAGGAAAACAGTTAATCATAATTAATCAGTTTCATCATAATTTTTTTTTCTTAGAGTGAATACTTCCTGCTGTAAGAAATCTTTTGATTAAACGCCAACAAGTACTTCTTTTATTTCCAGTATTTGGAAATTTTTCACAAAATAAAGCAATAATCGGTTTTTTCCCGGTTCCATAACACTGAATCACGTAAACTTTTTCCTCTAATGTTAACATTCTGTTTAAAAAACACTTTAAGTTTACTAAATTACAGTTTGAGAGATTAACAGTGACAGGAAAGCAATTTAGTTTTTCCATGGCAGTCTTTGTTAGAAATAAAATTGTTTGATATGGATTTTTCAAAGTAGGCCGATCAATCCGAAAATTTGCATATGCCCATAGTTTTTCATTCTGAACAAAACTTCTTAGTAACAATTTCACGTACTGTAAACAGAAAAGGTACTTTACCTGCCACAAAAAGAGTTTTTCTTTCACTGTCAAGGTTCACTTGTTTTTTAAAAATTGATAATATGTTCAAAATTAGTCGTTAATCAAGCAGGGCTAAACCCCAAAAGATGACAATTAATATCGAAAAAATTTTACCTTTTATAAGAGTCGTTTCACCTATCCGGGGACACACTGTATATTACATAATTACATAATCATTTATTTTAATATAATTTTTAATATTTTTTCTTTTAGGTTGTTAGAAAACCAACTGATATTGTGGTAAAAATTCCTAAACCAACACCACCACCAAAAGACCAATACGTTCAGGTTAGTTTAACGAAATTACCATGAAACACACATTCATAACGTTCATTTTTATTTTAGGTGCCAAAAAATTTGTATCAATACGAATAAAATAGACAAAAAAAATGTGTAGGATGTAACAAAAATAGTAAAACGATGTACATCTTTATCAGCGTATGTGTGTTGTGTATTTAAGGATAATTGTTTAATAATTTTATAAAACAAATAATTACGTAGCGTAATTTAGCTGAATAAAAAAAAAAGATTTTCTAAATAGATTAATGGTTGTTATTTTACGCGAAATTCATCACCTCTTGCGGACAACGAAAAATACATTGCAGCAGTTCATAATTTAGCACAAACTGCTGCGTAATTAGCGTTTATTACATACGCTGTGGAACATTCAAATTAAAACCATCTGATAATGGTCGTCTATTGATAAAATAGTTTCCCGCTGGTGGATATTTACGGACAAACATACATTTTTGGACGTTTAGGAACCGGATTCGAAACCACAAATCGCGAGTGTTGACGATTACACGTGTTTGTACATTTACTGATTACATTAAATGTGACATCATTTAATTTGTAATTTAGAAATAACATTGTTTTTTTTTTGATACATTGAAAGCAACAGTTCGATTTTTTTCGTGTTTCTTATTTTTTCTTACACATCCCAATTGATTTCGTACGTGACAGGAATCGAAGTTGAACGCCTATCGGGTCGTTGTTAACCTGCTCGATGAACCGTCTCGAGCAAAATCCGCAGAATCCGGTCTGTGATTTCTTGATTTTTAACTCTTGGTATAGGGGGGTGTATGTGTGTGTGGCACAAAAGGACAGGGAATAGATGGGATGAACTGGCGCGGTAAATATATAATTTATGGGGATGCAGGACCTCACCGTTGCCGCCCCGGAGGGCGCTGACTGAAGTACGGGCGAAGTTCGTGCTTCGGTTATCGGCTCCGGTCCGAATCGGGCTTGTTCCGGTCCGAGTGGAGTCCAGATGGAACGTGCTGATATTCTTTTCGAAGTGCGGAAAGGGAATAATCTATCCGACAGAGGACCAAACGACAAAACCCGTATATAACCGTGAACTAAAATAAAGTGACTCTTAAAGATAAAAGGTTTTTTAAAACTAAATTTACTATCAATTTAAGGAAAAAATGTTCGCAATATTCGAACGAAGCAATAAACGTTCTCCCTGATTCTATTAGGTTCAAGAAATGTCGTGGCATCCGGTTGTCGACGAAAGCTAGTTACGTAAAACCCTCTACTGAAAGCGGTCTCGAGAGATATGACCATAATTTAATGAGCTCAATATTCGATATATCTAACATCGAGCGTTCGCATGTTTTCAAAGCTTTGTCCCGAGCATGAAATTGATAGGCTCGATTCGATCAGTTTCCCAGAATACGAAGGCCAGCAATCGGAGAAACGTATCCCTTTAATATCTATAAAGATGTATGGAGAAGATACGGTTGAAAATGGCTCGTCCTATACCAATTGGAAAACTCTGACCACGGATTTCCTTTGATGGTACCGGATAATGCGGTTGGCCGTAATTATCTGCGAACCGCTAGCGAAGTCGATTGTCAAGGACTTAATATTTAATCTTGGAATAAAGTTTAATTATAAGTTAAAGACTGGTATAAATCTCTTGGGACGTCGGTTCGGTAAATTATTAACTGGGCCGACGGCAAAACTTTTAATAATCCTGTTAGTCCCATGTAACTGGATTACCTGCTAATTAAAACGTAATTATTTGTATAACTTTTAACAATTTTATAGGGTACCTAAAAAACGCCTGAAATTCTCGTTTATTACATAATATAAATTTAACGTCAAGAAGCGTGGATATAAATTTCGTAAAATTTTATATGTTAATAATATTGTCTAAAATTATACGAGTAATTTGTTAAATGTATTCAAGGCGTCCGCCCATTTAAGAGAACCCAAGAGAATAAGCTGGGGCTTTGTTAATCCAAGCTAATCAGCACTTATCACTTTAACCCTACCTTGGGGACACTTTTGCTTTCGCTATGTGAAGGCTTCCTCACCTTGAAAGGAAGTACTCAACGGAGAGGATTTAAAATTAATTTACATCGTCGGTATATAGCTAATGACTCCTTGATTTGACGAATGTGGGTCTCTTATTACATAATTTTCTATAAATAAGTTCGTCTTATTATGTAATAAAACATTAAAATAATCCCTTAATTAATAATTCATCTACTAATGAATATGTGAATAAGAATGGATTCTTAAAATAATATGGAACATTTTAAGTTTAAGAATCAGTTTTCCATTTCGTTATATTTTGAGATATAACATATTTTAATCCCCAAAAACGTCACTTTTTATATATTCTACGATTTTAACTGTACTAAGTAAGACGAATTAAACGCTAGAATGAAATTGCTTATTAAGTATGTTTTTGGGATCATGTAGAATAATTGTAGTATACAAAATTGTTTTCCATCTCTATGTCTTACATAGATACATTTCGTTGTTTTGAGACTTCTAAGTAGAATGAATTAAACGATACAATGAAATCGCCCATTGGATATGTTTTAGGCACAATGTAGGAAATTTTAGCACAACAATTTATATTCCATTTTTTCGTATTCTTCAAATATAACCTATTTTAATGATAAAAAACCTCAACTTTAATACATTTTGACTGAAGCAAGTAGGGCAAATTAAACGATCGAATGAAACTGCTTAGTAAATATAATTTTGTGATCATATAGAACATTTTTGGTTTAAAAATTAGGTCCCCATTTCTTTATATTCTTGAGAAATAACCTATTTTAATACTCAAAAGCGTTAATTTTCATATATTTTGCGATTTTGACTGCATTAAGTTAGGTGAATCAAACGTTGGAATGAAATTGCTTATTGAATATGTTTTTGGGATAATATAGAACATTTTTTTGAATCAAAATTGTTTTCCATCACTTTTTGTTCTTGAGTTATCACCAATTTTAATGTTCAAAGACATATTCATATATTTTGCGATTTTGAAAGTTCTAAGTGGGAGGAATTAAAGGATAGAATGAAATCGCTCATAGAATATATTTTCGAGATAATATGGAACATTTTTGATATAAAAATGTGTATTCTGTTACTTCGTATTCTTGAGATATAACCTATTTTAATATCTAAAAACGTCAATTTTCATATATTATGCGATTTTGATTGCATACGTAAGGCGAATTAAACGCTGGAATAAAATCGCTTATCAAGTATGATTTTGGGATAGTTTACAACATTTTTGGTGTACAAAATTGTATTCCATCTCTTTGTATTCTTGAGATATAATTTATTTTAATACCCAAAAACATCAATTTTCATATATTTCGCGATTTTGAGAGATATAACCAGAGCGAACTAAACAATGGAATAAAAACGTTTACAAAAATTTGCTTGAGTTAATATGGAACAGTTTTGATACAAAAATTAGTTTACAATGTCATGATATTCTTGAGGTGTAACCTAATTTAACCCTTTGTATCCCGACGGTACTTTAAAGTACCGGTAGTTTTAAACACTCATTTTAAAGAAAGCATTGAGCTTTAATTTACAATGTCTCATTCCTTAATTTTAATAAATACGGCTTCCAGGAATTTTTAAATTAGCATCTTCTTTGACACTTTTAGGTTATACGAAAATGTAAGTTTTATTTCAACATTTCTTTTCTCAATATTTTTCCAATCCAACCCGACGATTATTATATATCATCTTAAAGAGAAAGCTTTGAGCTTTAATTTAGAACAAGTCTTATTCCTTAATTTCAATAAATAAGGCTTCCAGGAATTTTTAAATTAGCATCTTTTTTGACACTTTTAGGTTACACGAAAATGTAAGTTTTTTTTCAACTTTTCTTTTCTCAATATTTTTCCAATCCAACACAACAATTATTATACATCATTTTAAAAAGAAAGCTTTTAGCTTTAATTTAAAATAAGTCTCATTCCTTAATTTTGATAAACACGTTTTCCAGGAATTTTTAAATTAGCATCTTTTTTGACACTTATAGGTTACGTATACGAAAATGTAAGTTTTGTTTCAACATTTTTTTTCTTAATATTTTTCCAATCCAACCCAACAATTATTATACATCATTTTAAAGAGAAAGCTTTGAGCTTTAATTTAAAATAAGTCTCATTCCTTAATTTCAGTAAATACGGTTTACAGGAACTTTTAAATTAGCATCTTTTTTGACACTTTTAGGTTGTACGAAAATGTAAGTTTTATTTCAAAGTTTTTTTTCTCAATATTTTGCCAATCCAACCTAACAATTATTATACATCATCTTAAAAAGAAAGCTTTGAGCTTTAACTTAGAATAAGTCTCACTCCTTAATTTCAATAAATACGGCTTCCAGGAATTTTTAAATTAGCGTCATTTTTGACACTTTTAGGTTATACGAGAATGTAAGTTTTGTTTAAAAATTTTTTTCTCTCAATATTTTAGGCCTTTACTGAGTGTATTTTGATAGCGTTTTAATTCTGTCACATAGTTTCAAAATTTTTGACTTCTGGGGACACAAAAGGTTAATATCCAAATTAATGTCGAATTTTACATATTATGGGATGTTGAAAGTACTAAGCAGGGTAAATTAGAAGATGAAATAAAATTAATTATAGAATAATATGTATTCTGGATTAATAGGAAACATTTTTGTTACAAGAATTTCTTTTCCATCTCTTTGTGTTCTTGACATATTACCAATTTTATTGCTCAAAACAGCATTTTTCATGTATATCGCGATTTGGAAAGTTCTAAATAGAACCAATTAAACAATGGAAGGAAAATCGCTTATTAAATATGTTTTTGGGGTAATCTGGAATGCTTTTGGTACAAAAATTAACTTTCCATCTGCTTGTATTCTTGAGATATAACCTGTTATATTGCTCTAAAACATCTGTTTTTGTCTACTCAGCGATTTTGATTGTACTAAGTAAGAAGAATTAAACGATAGAATGAAATCGCTTATTAAATACGTTTTTGGCATAGTATGGAACATTTTTTGTATAATAATAAGTATTCCATCTCTCTGTATTCTTGAGATATAAACTATTTTAATGATAAAAATGCCAATTTTCATATTTTTCCCGATATTGAAGGATGGCAACCGTTTAAGCATTTGTGTTCCGAATTTAAATGCCTGTTCCTACTAGCAGAGTTCATAAAAACACTATTACACTAAAATCATTAGAAGATTAGGATCATTGTATTGTAAATTATCGTCAAACTTTATCATAAATTTAAGCAAAACTGTACAAATTCTATAATATCGGCATAAAAATTAGTGGAAATCAAATTAATATTTATGAAACACTTGAAAGTTAAAGTTGCTCGTAGACCACGGATCGAAGCATGCAGTCAAGCAGTATTGATTTGTCCTTGATTAAGCAGATCATGCCCAAATCTTGTTTTGGTATTGTTTTGTTCTCATATCTTAATTCAAAACTTGGAGATTTTAAGCAAAGAATTTTTATGAAAAGTGGGCTTCAAACTAAAGAAATGCAGTTCTTTGTCCATTAGGGGGTAGTCTATGTCAACCAGATTCATAAGAGAGAAGACCTTAGGTTTTCAGACGATTTGTAATTGATTTGACATGGGAGTCAAAACAAGACATAACGCAAAAGGGAATTGAAAATGAATTGAAATGCGCAGACAGGTTGGGAGCATTTCTAAAATGACAATATGTCTCTTTAGGTGATGTTAGTTGTTAGGTTTTCAATTTAATCTTTTCGACCCGAATCTTCCAACTATT